GTCTCTTTCAACTCTATGATTCTATGATTCTATGATTCTATGAATGCAAACTGGCTCGATGCACTGATATAGTTATTTAGCAGCCATCATTTTGATTTAGCCAAGGGCTCAGATACAGGAGACCCAGTGATAGGATGTGATGAAAGTGTGTTGCTGTTTGTTAAGCACACAGAATTTTCCATGGGCTCAAATATTTATGCACTCTGAAATTTGGCACCTGCTGGCCGAGGTGTGAGAATTTGCAGACAGTCCATTTGCAAAAGAAGCAACAGGGCAGGCACTTCAATGAGAAATTCAGTGTTCAGGACATGGTGAGTTTTGCTTAAATAATCAAAATAACCCTGCTTCAGTCACTCATTTTGATTGTGTGAGTCTCTGTCAAGGCAATTGGAGGAGATGGGGAGAAGAAATTCCTCTGTAAAGATAAACACAAACCATCCTTCCCCGTTAGACACTGCAAACAAGAGTTTTATGGTTCACACCACTAACTGCAATACATGTTAGGGAAGGGAAGCCAGCTAAATGTTTTATAGTCCTTATTCTGCAGACATTTGTTAGGAATGATTCCTTTGTCTGTAAGGGGCAACCAAGTTGAAATATCTCATTCTCCATGGAGCAGCAAGATGAATAATAACATTTCCTACCCTCTTCAGGGTTGAGAAGAATAAAGACACAACTTTACATCACTACTCAGTGAATCAATTGTTGAATGTAGAATCAAGACATAGGTAACCCAATTGACACAATGGGTTTCCTCTAGTTGGAACTAACAATGAGATTTAGGACAATCACCAATACAGTCAGCCCTCCATTTCCACAGATTCTGCCTCCATAACTGTTACTCTAGCCTTCAAATCTGTAACTGCAATATCAAATGCTCGCCAATGTTGTTGGTTTGATTGGGGGTTTTTTTGGTCAAGGATCATAGAAATAGATTGCATATTTGCAGAGCAGGATGTGCTAAAAGCAGGCTGTCAGGTGGGGGAGGGAGGGAGAAAGATTTGGCCTTGTTAACATCTTTATGAATGAATGAATGAATGAATGAATGAATAAAATACCTTTCCTTTGTAGTTAGCTGTATGTGTAGATGAGCACTAGGGATGGAATGGCAATTTCTTGTAGACTGCCAAAAATAGTGCACATGAAATTGAGGCACTGCCCTGGCTCAGTGCTAGGGAGTCATGGGAACTGTAATTTATCGTGGCACCAGAGCTCTCTGACAGAGAAGGCTCAATGTCTCAGAAAAAAATACAATTCCCATGATTCCCTAGCACTGAGCCAGGGCAGTGCCTCAATTTAATGTGCACTATTTCTGGCAGTCTGCAAAGGCCCTCAGTTTCCCAAATAGGGTTGCAATTGACCTCTTTGGGAATTGGTGTAGGAACAACAACAACAACCATACAAAGTACCCTCAATTTTGCCCAGGCTTTCAAATGGTAATGCAATTACAAAGCCAGGGAGTGACACTCACAGAGACCACTTGGAGGCTGCCCAAACAGCAAGGCAGAATTGTCTCCCTCCTGGATGAAGGCCATCTGGAAAACGCAGAGCTGCCTTGGCTCTAGCACCGAGGAGGAAACATGACAGGCTGAGGGAGACCCAGAGAGTGATGATGACTCAGAGAGAGGAATATGCCATGCACTTTTGATGATTCAAAATTTGCAACTCCAATGCCATCAATGCCACTAGGCGACTGCATCCTCCTGAGTTTGCAAATTGTCCGGCTGACCGCAGCTGAGAGGTGGGATTCAGGCGGGATGCAGTCACCCAATGGCATCAGTGGCATTTTTAATGTAATAATTCCTGGTTGCATCCCATAAGTGACTCTATCCCAGCAGGGTTAAGTCGCTTTATTTTTTCATGTGATAATCTCCTGTGTCTGCATAGAGATAGGATGCTGTGTGATTATAATATAGAATATATAAAAATGTTAATAAACTTACAGGTTTGATTCAAAACAGACTGTTGAAAAAAGCAGAGGAAGAATAGATTCCTATAATAAGACAATGGAAAGAGAACTGGTCAAATCTTACATATTAGAATATAAGAGTTGGAGATTAGATTACAAGTACTCCAAATGTATGTAATAATATGCTGTTAAAAAGGAAAGGTGTTTATTTTTAGAGTGCAGATATGATTCTTTAAACTTTCTTGATGTTTTGATGGAACATTTAATTTAGAAGTAGAACATACATAAGTAAACAGCAAATCTTATAAGAAAATAATAAAGTTTAATGAAGAAAATGGATTTGGGATAATCAAACTTTATGACAAACAAGAAGGAAGTTTAAACATGGTTATGCTTGTAGGTATTC